GTGAATGACGTTTGGGGCCAGGTCACTCCTTCTTATGGGGTTGTCCTGTGTACAGGAAGACAGAGCTGGTGTCTTCGGCTTCTATCCCCTTGATGCCAGGAGGACCTCTTCCTCCCTGTGTGACCACCAGAGGTGTCTCAGATAGGGCCACCGGTCGCCGGCTGAGGACAGTCTGAAGTGAGTCCTTGAGGGGATATCTCGAGGACTCACCTTTGCCTTCCCCATGTTATCCCGAGGTGTTCGCACAGCTCCTTCCAGGCTGGGGCTCTCTTCTCTGTCCGGGAGAGCCCTGCCCTAAGCCAGAGAGCATCCTGGCGGGAGGCATCTTGCTCTCACGGGGTCCTGGCCCTGGGCCTCCCCAATCCCCCACCGCATGGAACACCCTGCAGGGTCCCTCAGAAAATGACACGCTCCTTCGTCTCCCCCGCCCCGGCCGCTAGCCTGTTTCTCTGAGAACACCCTGGTTTGGGAAGACACATTTTCCCACAGCAGCTCCCTGTCCCAGGAGGTGGCCCAGTGGCTCAGAACAAGCCCCAGCCTCAGAGGGCGTCCTTCTCCGGGGAGTGGGGCCGGACCGCCTGGCGTCGTGCAGCACACGCGGCGAGCTTCCCGCGTTCCCCGGGCCGTTAGTCAGAGACGTGCTGCGAGCCCGCGTGCTGCAGCCTTTGTGGAAAAGGAATGTTGTTTTCGCCGTGTGATTGGTTCTTTGGGAACCCCCTGTGCCCTCTCACCCCTCAAGCCCCTGAAGACGGACATTTTTGGACTCACCGGTCACCGTCCTTGGTTCCCAGGGTGCAGGCACATGAGGTCCCCGCACCGCGCGGTGAGCTACGAGGTTCCTCTGCCTCAGCACGTCCCAGCGCCATCGCTCCTGCCATCGTCCCAGCGCGCCAGCCCGGTGCGCCACGCACACGCCCCGGGCGCTAGGAGAGAAGGCTCTCGGCGGGTTGGTTTTTGCCATGGACAGTGGCCCGCGTTCGATTCGGCTTCTTTTAATGAGAAAGGCATCCAGCCCCGGAGATGGATTACCAGCTCCCATCAATCTCCAGGACCTGATCTTATTACAAACCCCCACAAATATAACCATAAAAGCCCTATTGATTGATGCAGAGTTTGCTAATCCATCTGTCCCCATCCATTATTCCAGGTATAATTTTTCATTACCTGGATGGCAGCTGATTCCTCGCACATTAGTATACAGTCGCAATTACCAGGAGCCGAGAGAACCCCTAAATTAGCAGGAGCGGCAACACCTGTCAGGAAGGGGAAGTAAGAACCCCCCCGCCCCTCACGGCGTGCGGTGCGCTCTGGGACCAGGACTGAACCACAGAGAATTTGAAGATGGATTTGGTACTGACCTTGTAAATGGAGAGGCGAAGTTTGTGTTTTCTGCCCTTTCCTGGGTGTACCTTCCCTCCAGTGACATCGTTGTTCACCGGTCACAGCCTGCCTGACAGCGGGCGTAGACACTATTCAAGCATTGCCTTGCCCGGGGTCAATAGGGTTTGTGGGACAGATGTTCCCACCTGCACTGTGTCATGTCCACAAGGGACCCGACCTGAGGGAACACTGTTGAAGGTGTGAGTGTTGGGAGAAGTTAGTGAGGAGGGAGAGAATCGGGGGGGGATAACCTCCTAAGAACGTCACCATTCATATGGGGCAGGGAGAGCCAGTGGCTGGACACACCAGTTCTGAGAGCTGCACGTTCTTGTCTTTTTGCAAAATGCAGCTCCTTTTCAACCTTAATGGAGAAAATTGAAAGACATGTGGCTGAAATATTTCTGAGGGTCCTTAGAGGGACTAAACTGATAAAATTCTCCCTGGAGTTTGGTTTCCAAAAATCAAGAATCCTGTCTCATTGGATTCTCGAGGAAACTGTCACACGAAGTGATCTCTTCTGAAGCCAGGCTCATGTGGACGAAGCCCGCAGGACAGAGCTGCCCGTCGCTGACTGTGACCGTCAGGCTTGCCGCGGTGGAGGCAGAGGCTGTCCTTGAAATCCCCTTGGCAGTGGCCGGTGACATTCTCAGAACTCGGGAAACCTTTAATGATGGGGAGGGAAGATTCCAGTCTTCAGAACCAAAGGTCTGCAGGTTGAATCCCAGCTTTAGTCAATCTTTCAAAATAGATACATGTTCTGTTTAATTTATGAGGCAAACACTCAGCTATTCACCTAAATTAGCGGCCGGCGGACGGCAGCCTGTGAATCAAATCCGGCTGTTGTCTGTTTTTATAAATAAAGTTTTATTGGCACATAGCCACGCCCATTTTTTCCCATGTCATCCATGGCTGTTCTTGCCCCACAATGGCCGGACTGCGATGCTGCGACAGAAACCACACTGCTCACAAAGCCTGAAATATTTACTCTCTGGCCCTGCGTGGCAAGGTTCGCCCACCCGGCGTCCACGCAAAGACTTGAGGGATGTTCGCAGATGAAGAACGGACTCTGGCACTCAGGGAGGACTGAGTAACGGGCAGATGATTGGAAGAGGACGCCACTTCTCGCATGCTGATCTGTCCTCTGCTTAGTAGCCGACCTCCCCGAGACAGGAGGCCAGGAGTCATCCTTACGGGTTTTCTGTCTTCCACCTGCTGCTTACAAGTGTCATTCTTGCCGCACGTGAAAAGGCCTGACCCTTGTCCCCCCGACGTGAGCATGGGGTCTGTGAGATCTTCTGGTAACCGTGGCTCTCCCATGCGTGAGCCCAGGGGCCCGTGAGAACTCGGGGGCCCCGCGCTGCAGCAGAAGCCTGTTTGCCCTGCAAGTCAAATACGGGAGGGAGGGGTCCTCGGGTGCCGGCCTCGGCGAGTCTGACGACCAGGAGGCAGCTACAGACGGGTTAGCTGGGCGTCCGATGCTGGATTTTCTCGGAGGCCCAGAGCAGAGAATCGCCTGTGGTCCTGGCTCTGCCGGACGACGGTGGGAAAGTCGCTTTACTCCTCAGCCCAGGCTCCTCGTCAGTCAGGCAGGTGCGAAAGTGCTGCTGCTGCTGATGGTTTCGACGGATCACAGGGGAAGCTTGGCAAGGTGCCCGGCACAAAGAAGTCCTTCTGGAACGCGTAGCCCGTGACCTTGCCTGGTTATTAACCCAGTTCTTGTTTCCGCCACAATTCAACGTGGTGAGTTCTATGGAGGAGGTTCCACACCGAAGGCAGGAGACGCGCCTCCAGAGCAAGGCAGAGCTTAGGACTATATCATTATATTTCTCGTTGTTCCTCTGGTTTTTCTTTTCTCCTTTTCAGGTATAAATGTGATCGGCCCCAGAGAGACAGTGGGAAGGGGCTGTGTTAGAGGGTGTGCGGGACTGGGGCGGGTATGAAGGTGACGAGGCCCCTTTCTTGGGCCAGAACCAGCAGTAGATGCTGTCATTTAATAAAAGGGGGGGGGGCTAGATCGCTTCTCAGGCTTTGGCTGAGATCAAGTGAAGAAACGGGCACTAGGGAAGCTGACCTGCCGAGCTCGTCAAAGCGGAGAGCGTTTGCATGCAGTAGGCGCTCCGTAAGGGCTCTGGAGTCGGGGCATGAAGGAACACCTGAAGGGCTTTCTGCCACATCCGTGTCTTCTCCTGTCTTCCTGGCGGTGCTTATCCTGTGGGCTCAGGATGGGAATCCCTCACGACCAGCAGAAATAGCCCCAAAGACGGGCGAACAGGAAGAGAAAGCTTGTCTTCTGGCCTTGCCAACTTTGAATCATTTATTAGCAATTTCCCCACGAGGATCGTACTCAGTGGAGAGGTAACATCTGTTTGCGAGACTGTGTCCTTGGGAGACCGCCAGGAAAATAGCACATTCCAAAATCCTCCACGGCGGGCCGCGTGCACCCGTCTCGTTCTCACCCAGGGACCCGCTGGGCTCCTCGGGAGTGGCAGGTGGGTCTCTGCCTGGGGCTCCAGGAGTCGCGAGAGGCAAGTTCTTACACCTCGCAGGTGCGAGGACACGGGGAAATTAGCCCTTTGGTGAGACAAGGTGCTGCCCGCTGCAGGGCTCACCGCAGCCCTCCCCCACCCCCGGGACCTTTATGGCCCAGCCCCTCAGGTAGGAAGGGTTCTTCCTGATCGGAGGAGGACAGGGCCTTTGCAAGTGGCTTTTATGGACCAGCAGCGTCTGCTGGGCATGTCCCCAGTGTCCGTGCTCCAGGAAAGATGTTACAGGTGCGTTGTCAGGAGGAACATAGCCTCGGTGGAACACCGGAGCTGGGAGCCTCACCTCCCACCCCTGCCTCTGTGCTTAGTGGAAGGTGGTACAGGGGTGGGGATGGAAGGACAGTGTAGGAGAGAATCCTGGGCCTCTGCTCTCCCCGTGTGGGGTTCCCAGACAGCTCTCAGGCGGGGCTCAGGCCGCCCTGCTTCTGTCCCTGACTTGCCCCCCCCGAGCACCCCTGCACCCTCCTTCCCCGTGCACACACACAGCAGACACAGGCCAGCGAGGCTAGACCACAGGTCCCTTTCCAGGCTTTTGAGAAGCATCAGCTGCGAGGCCTGGATTGTTGATTCCTGGAACCTCAACAGGCCGTGAGCCGCTGGGAGAGGACTCTGGAGAGAGGAAGGTTCCTCCAGTGAACCCCTGCCAGGAGGTCAACGCTTGTCCACTCTCTCCTCCCTTCCCAACAAATCCTGGGCTGCTTTGGCCCCTCTTGGGTCTGGCTAAACCTGCTCCCACTCAAAGGCCTAGTGCTCAGAATGGAGAACCCACCCAGGTGGGAGCCAGCGGAGGAAGGGTGACAGGTCCTGGGGCGTGCCTCGGCCAGAGCTTGCCTGGGCCAGGTGAAAGGCTTGGCAGGTGCAGGAAAGGACACAGCTTCCCGTGGGCTGGGTGACAGCTGGGGAACCAAGAGATGCCAGGGCCGGGGCCTCCCTTCCTGGACTCCAGGGGACCCAGCTCCTGCCGGCACCTGCCGTGGGGAAGGAGAGACCTGAGTGTGCAGGAGCCAGCCCCGCCCCTCCTGGGTTCCTGTGTCTCGTGCCTGGGTCTCATGGCTGCCTCCCCTTCCTCTTTTCCAGGTCTGGCTGTCCATCAGATTATCACCATCACTGTCTCCCTCATCATGGTCATAGCTGCTCTGATTACAACTCTTGTCTTAAAAAACTGGTAAGGCTCCTCGGCCCCTCTGGCGCGGACACGGGGGCTGTGGGGGTCCCCCGGGAAGTGTGCACAGAGTGTTTCCTACTTCTCAGACCCAGTCCCGCCTCACATCCCAGGGCATTGTTTCCCTCATCTGGGCCAGAGAGTCGGGGTGGCTCGTGGCCTTGCCGCAGCCCTCTCACCTTCAGCCCCGGGGCAGCTTGGCCGGCGCAGGCGCCACACTGCCCGACACTGGCCTTGGGCGGGGTGTGCCCCTGACCGCGGCTTTCTCTGCAGGAGGCGAGTGAGCCCCACCTCATCACAGTTTCTCGGGCAGCCCATGTTCTGGTCTCCGAAGCCTGTGCCAGCGTCAGGCATGCCTGCAGACACCCCCACCCAACGCGCCAGCGGCCTGGGTGCGCCCGTGCCCACCCCTCGCTGCCCTGGCTGTGCAGGGGCCGTGTTCAGCCTGAACCCTTCCCTCCTCCTGCGGCCGCTGAGTGTCTGTCAAACTAGGTTATTGCTTTTCTCTGGGTAGCTGGTCTTTGCCTGTTTCCTCCTGGAAACTGGCCTACTTTGAGGTTGGCCTTGCTAGGTGAGCACACCTGCTACACCCCAGGGAAAATCGGGCACTGCCGGGTGACCCTGCCGCACACACGCCTCTGAGGCCCCATCTGCCCGCAGCCAGCCCTCCAGCAAATGTGTCCTCCACGAGGAGGTCGGACTCCTTGTAGAGCAGTACACCCAGACCATCCCGCGGTCGTCGGCAGGAGGTGGTCAGAAGTCATATGGGGCTGATGGGTGGCAGCTGCTCCCCAGTGTCCCGATGACAGAGATCTGAGAGAAAGCCAGTCTCCTGGGTTAGCAGAGCTGGGAGGGTGGGGACTGGCACAGCTCCAAAGCAGACCTCACAGCAAATAAGTGAGGCCTCCCGGAGGCCAGCAGACCCGAGTCCCAGGGCATTTTCTGGGAGCAGTAATGAGGACAACTCTAAACTCACCATGAGGCATCTTGGGCAGGGCTTGGCAGGAGAAGGGACTCTGGGGCCCAGGATCCCATGGATGTGTGGCTGGACAAATGCCATCGACCATCTTTACGGCCCGCAGAGGGGATGGGGGACACTGTCCCCTCTTGGTTTCCCACATTGGGGTTTGCAGCAAAGCCTCAGAGAGTTCTTCTGGGGACGACCACCTAGGCAATGATGAGGATGTTCCATGACCTTGTTGGGGGGGGGGTCCCCTGGCTTTTGCATTTCTCTTCCCAGCCTTATTTATGGCGTGGGGCTTCTGCACCAGGAAGCAGGGCTCCTCTCATTGCAAAATGAGACAGGGCACGTCCGTGACTTGCAGGAAGGTGGGCTCATGGACCCTCGCCTGTCATGGCCACATCCTTCTGAATTGGCTCTGAGCACAGCAGGGAGGCAAGAAGGGGAACTGGTTCCCCAAGCTGGGGCTCCCCAAATTTCCTCCTAGCTGCTCTCCTCCACTGGGATGGGACTTCCACTCATCCCTCCTGTGACATGCCGGAAGTGACTGCGAGAGGTCACTGATGGCCCGCTCCCCCAGATCCCTTGGCTGACAAGGCCAGGATTCCCATGTCCATCCTTGGTGGTACCGAGAGGGCTGTGTGGTCCAGAGGAACAGGGAAGCTTCTGTGGGGCTTGCAGACCAGATCTCCCCATGGACCTGATGGCCGTGAAGGATGGATGATCCGTGTTCATTTCTAGCTTGGGAGCTGGGGAAGGGCAGGGCTGAGGACGCAGGGTCCCCTGTGTAATAATTCTCCCCGATGACGGTTACATAGCCCCTTCCAGAATGAGCCACCAGACCAGCCCCACCTGTACCCATCCCTTCATGGGGAAACTGAGTCAGCCATCACTGCCCGGCTGACATCCTTCCAGCAGACGAGGCCTCAGCTCTGGGATAACACAGCTCAGACACTTTCTTCTTCATCTGCCCTGCGATAATGGCACATTAAAATTCAAATTTTATTAACAACAACAACAACAACAACAAAAAACAAAACAGGGAGAGAGCGAGAGAGCGAGCTGATTGTTTCATTGTGGTTGGTCTTTGTGAAGAGGCTGGGAATTACCATCTAATATGAAATGACGAATAATTAATGCCTGGAGACGAAGGTGCCCCTAAGTGCTGGGTTTCGGCCCCTGCCCGCCGCACCCCCAGCCCAACTCCTGTCTTCCAGCTGCGCCCAAAGCGGGAACACGCGTCGGAACAGCCACCAGCGGAAGGTCAACCAGCAGGAGGAGAGCTGCCAGAACCTGACGGACTTCACCCCCGCCCGGGTGCCCAGCAGCCTGGACATATTCACGGCCTATAATGAGACCCTGCAGTGCTCCCACGAGTGTGTCCGGGCGTCCGTGCCCATGTACACCGACGAGACGCTACACCCGACAGCCGAGTACAAATCCACGTTTAACGGGAACCGGTAAGCTCGGGCCTGGGCCAGACCCTGACGTCCCAGCATCGTCACCGGGCGCTGTTGACCTGGGGGGCGGGAGCACCCTTCATGGGTCCTTAGGGGGCTGAGCAAGTGCACACGGCTGGCCTGGCAAAAGGAGGGGGCGGGGTCGACAGAAGGAGGTGTTTCACCAACCAGACACAGAACCCGCAGCAGCCACAGTAGTCTCCAGGCCGCACCCTCGGAGAGCTGACAGAAGGCCCTCCCTGCCCTGGACGCCACCTGTTGGAGGCCGAGCAGGCGTCCTGTCCGGCTGGTAGCCCTGGGCCTCCGCTATCAACACGCTCCCGGTCAGTCTCTCTGAACGCCCATCAGGAAGATGTCAGCGGCGCATCTCGCAAAATATCAAATACCAGCCAGACTCCTGGTTATTAAATGCTCCTTTTTATTAATCGTGGGTAATCCTTCAAAGAAGACATGGCCCTGAAACCATCCCTGGGAACATTTAAGAAACCCTCGAGTCAGCTTCCGGGGGTTTATCTGGAATTAGATTAAAATATCAATAAGCTTTTTTTTTTTTTTTTTAGGGAGCATACACATGCACCATTTTGTAAATTTAAAAGAGAGAAGTTCTCCAACCCCTTAAACATCTTAGGAAGAAACGAATAGGAAACCAGGAGGACGCCAGGGGCCCCCTGTCAGTGGCAGGAGTAGCCGCGAGGGGTGAATGCCCCAGGGGCCCGGAAGCGTTCCTCCCAGAACCAGGGTCGAGGAGACTCAGGGTGACGTTCAGCTGTGGTGCCCGTGGTTAACGGGCCCTCATCCTGGCCGTGAGAACGGGGGCCTTCCTTAACCGCACCCCCCGCCCCCCACCGCATCTCCACGTTGGACTCCGCAGTATTCCCTGGGATGCTCCCTTCCCAGCTCGGGAGGGTGGAGAGCAGGGACTCAGGACTGTCCTTCCGGCCCGTGCTGCTTTGACTCTGTCACGTCTGGGGAGCTCCTGGTGGCATCCCAGCCTTCCAGAAGGCCCGGTGCACAAAGAATTGGCGAAAGGATTTCAAACCTTTTCACAGAGGGCGCGTGTGTCGGTTTGGATGTGAATCCTGGCCAACCAGTGCTTCAGTTTGGGGGAAGGGGTGGGATGCTGAGCGGCCACATGGCCGTTCCCCCTGGTGCCCCCCTGGCCCCGCCCCATCCGCGGGCAAGGTGGGCACCGCCAGCGCCCTTAGCCCTGGCTCGGAAGCATTGGGTGGAACGGGTTCTTGCTTTTTGGCCTAAGGCAATGCTCTTTTGGCTCTCCCTGGCCTTTGGACATGGTAGCTTCGGTCTCAAAAGTGACAAATTCCAAGAGACCCATTTCAGGAGTCAGGCCCCGCCCACTCCATCGTGGGCGTGCGGCAAAGCAGGTGGGATCCTGCCCCGGGAGGGGGAGACCCCAAGCTTTGAGCTTGTCCCGCAAATTAAAAAACTAAGATCTGGAATACCAGCTTCCTTCTGCACACGGTCCCTCAGGCTCCGTGTCCTCCAAGGCCTTCCAGGGTGCACATGGGTGTTCGCGGGCCGCAGGGAGAGGACCCCCTTCCCACCGAAGGCCAGTGGGTTGGGGCCGAGCATTACCTTTCTGGGTTCTTCCTGGCTCCAGAGGCCGGTGTTGGGCGGCAGCGCTAGCCGGCCCGCCGGTTAGCTGCTCTGCACAAGCGCACGCGAGCCCGTCTTTCTGCTTTGCCACAGACCCTCCTCCTCTGATCGGCACCTTATTCCTGTGGCCTTTGTGTCTGAGAAATGGTTTGAAATTTCCTGCTGACTGGCCGAAGTCCTGTTCACCTCCTGGGGCAGGGCAGACGCCACGTGTCTGTATTATGGTACGTACCTCTCGTTATAGACATCGATTGATTTTTTTTCCCTCTTTGCCTCCCTTCCCCACCTCTCCCCCCCGCCCCGCCTCCACTCTGGGACAACTGGGAGCCCTTCTGGACATGGCAGGTGGAATTCCGATGGTGGTGCTGCCCCGAGGGCAAGCCTGGAGGGCTGGGCTTGTGGTCTCTCTGCTGTACTTGTTAGAAATAACCCCCGTGGAGGGAGGACAGACACACCAGGAATGGCAGCACCGTCCCAGCCCCGGGGAAGGCCCCAGCCGGCACAGCCGGCCGCCAGGAAAACCCGGGGAGACCCAGGAGGGGGCTATGCAGGCGGGCATCACCCCTGCATTGGACGTCTCTACATCGGGGTGGGGGACGCGAAGTAGAATTAAAATACAATTTTGGAATATAAAAATAAGAGATAGGAAGGGAAATGATAAAGGAAGAGTTGAGACATCTACTAATTTGAAGCCAGGGACCGTCACCAAAACAGGATGAATTTTCCACGCTCTGCTGGATAGGAACATTTGGTTTGCTTTCAGTGATATTAACTTTAATGCTAACGTTAAATTGCTTTCTTCTGCGCCGAGTCTCCGGAACTCTCGGGCTGCTGGGGGAGAAAGCGTCTGCCCCCAGGACTGCACACGGTCTGCGCGCCGTCAGTGCAGGCACCCCGGGCTCCGGGCTCTTTGCATTCGTTTTCCTTTTTATGTTGGGTTTTCTAAGGATCCTCGTTTTTGTCTCATCCGGGGTCGCTCTGTGATATCACATCCCTTCCCTGAGTAGGGAGCCCAGTTTCTAAGCTGCGTTATCGGTATTTGAAAATACTGCTTCTTCCTTCTGTCCGCCTTCTCACGCAGGAGTCATCGTCAGGGTGGGTGGGAGGTGTTTGCTGGGGACACCCGTGTGCCCCTCGGGGCTGGGCTCGCCGCACAGAGCCAGGGCTGGAGGAGCTCACGGCTTTCGGAAATAGGAGCGAACGGGTCAGTCCTCATCCAGCCCTAATGAAGCACGTGTTGGCTCCAAATCAAATCTCCAGCCCTCGCTTCCTGTCCTGAAGCCAAAATGACCTGCTTAGCATGACGTTCCGCCGTCGGGCCGAGAAATGTGATTAGATGAGAACGGAAAGCACCCCTCCCTCCCCCGACAAAAGGCCTTCGTTGAGACCACGCAGGCAAGTTAGGTGAGACCTGATGCGTCCCGACAATTCAGGGGCCAGAGGCGTCGGCATGGCCCACCCATCAGAGCCTTTGTCTGCCTCAGCGTGACTCGCCTCACTAAGGCGGGGCAGAGTCCCCTGGGGAGTCCTAGCAACAAGGAGCTTCTTACTATCTGCAGAGTTCCCGCCGGCCCAGAGAACCCTCTGCAGGGGGCCCAGGACCGCCAGCATCCCTGTTAGGACTTTAAAAATGTGTAACGACACAAGACACTGATGTGGCCCTGCATGTCACGGCCTCCGCTCCCTTCCTTCAAGAGCTCAGGCTCAGGGCCTGGAGGCGGACACGCCCTTCGCTCCAGGCGCAGGGGCTGGGGGGCAGGGTGGGGGAGCAGTTTCCCTAATGTAGACTTTCCCTAATGGGCTCTTACGGAGCCCTCTTTACATCTGGGGACTCCTACCATCCTCCCAGGAACGCCACTTTACAGAGGGGAAACTGAGGCATGAAGCCATTAAGTGACTTGCCTGAGGTCAGGTTGCTCGGGTCAGTCCAGGGTGGCCTGGCTCTGCCCGTCGTCAGAGAGCCACCACCCCGCCCCCGCGCTATGCCTCTGTGCCCTGTGCCATCCCCAGCCTGGTCCCAGGCAGGACGAGAGTCGGTGGCAGCCGGAGGTACGTTTTCCCGGTCCACTGGCATCCTGGGACGTTCAGCTCAAGTCTGCAGAGCAGGAGACCAGCTCCCACGCGCCCCACAGCCTGAGCCACCAACCTCTTCAGCCACACTCTGGAGCTAGGAGCCGCAGCCCGGCCTAAAACAAAAGAAGAGAAAATAGTAGAAAAGAGCTTTTATGGAGCCCTCTGCTGCAGAAAGGTTTCCTGTTCCAGTTCTGTCTTCTAGCAACACAGGGCATTGGAGGACCCCACACTCTGTTGGTGGGCTTTCCCCATCCACCACTTGGACCACGTTCCTCTCCGGGTGTCTGCGCCCCACCTGCCAGGCTGTCCAAGGAGTGGTCTCAGGACCACCCCCGTTTGCAGGAGGGGACACAGCTGCTTCTGAAGAGCTTGACCCCTTCACCGGGGCGGGCCGTCTGGGAGCTGAGAAGAGCCAACAGGACCGCCTGAGTCCCGCAGGTGCAGCCGCCACAACTGGGAGCGCTAGTACTGTTCCCGCAGACGCGGTCCGGGAGGGCTCCGCACACGGTCTCGTTAGCCTTTGATAAATGCTCGCAGGTTTCCTCACCGCGTGCCGGACAGACCATTCATCACGCTCTGCGAGGAAAGCCTTCGGATTCTAAGTATCCCTGATTCTTGCAATTAATGCCTGGACAGGAGCATCGAGCGGGGAAAGGCCAGGAAGATGGCTCAGATTTACTAGGGTACTTATTGTCCCTTAAATAAATACCAATTAATACGAAAACATTTAATTAAGGTTGAAGAGCCAGTGGAGGTGTTTGTCTCTTGTATGGCTGCTGAGTCTCTCCAAATGCACGTTTAACGATGACAGAGGACGCTGTTGCCACGCCATCTTGTCTGCTCACGCTGACCCCACGCACACGGGGGGGACCCGGAGTGGCCACGTTCGTTGCCCTGTGGTCAGGGAGCTGGCGGTGCCTCTGTTCCCGGACACCGGCTCCAGAGCCTGAGCAGACGTCCACCTGGTCTCCCTGATCTGGCCTCTGTCGTTGATTCCAGCAAATTCCTGACGCAGACCACCTCCACAGGGGCACCCCGTCGCTCTGACCTTCCCGCACGCCCAGGACAGGGGCTGAGGACACGCGTCTGCCATTGGCTCTCGGGCTAATTTCCTGTCATTTTTCATCCAACAAGTAAACTCCTGAAAACCTCGTTAGTGTTCAGATCTTTGCATTGGCCAAGGCCACTTTATTCCCAGCAGAGCCTGAAAAGTAATAAAAGTTCTCGTGTCTGAAGCCAGTAAGGAATAAATCATGTGTTATTATTATTTTCAAAAACACACTGAAGACATAACTAATAAAAACCAAGAAAAGCACCTGAGCCTTCCCGCTTTGTTCTAAAAAAACACATTAACAGAATACCCAAGCTTTCGCGACTCAGAGGAACGCCGTGTTCAAAGCAACGTGTGGAGCGCGTCGCCGACCCGTCTGTCTCAGCGGAGCCCCAGCCACAAAGGAAACCTGGTGGCGAAGTAGCCCCTTCAGGACGCAGGTCATTGACTGCAGACCCTGGCTTCCGGGAGCTCTTGCCACAGGCTGTTGTCTGTTTTGCAAAAGCAGACGCTGATCTTAGAGCCTGGGACACGTGTGGTCTGCAGCCGGCGGGGCCCAGGCGAGCCCAGGATCTCCTTCCAGGCAGCAGAGGGCACTAGTTTCTCCAGAGTCGGAATTCATCCCAGGTCCCCATCTCTCGGACCACTTTGCAACACACAGCTCCCCTTTCTGGTGGGGGACCACGTGTGGATGCCTGCGCCATGTTTCTCCAGCCAGGTCTGAGGGCGGGGGTCACTCACTCCTTTGCTTCTCTGGTCCCTCTCAGGGTTAGCGCCCCACCGAGAGGTTCATACACCGAGCCTTGGGAACAGAAAGACGCAGGCCCTCCCATGAGCTGGGTGCAAGTAGCAGGAACGTCGAGCAGACGTGGAAAGGGGCCGCGGGTAGCCCCGTGCCCTGCTCCTGGCCTGAAGGGGTGATGCCACCCTGGCCGCAGCCCCTTGCAGAGAACCCCTCCGCCTCTGCCAGAGTCAGCATGGCTCTCCAGGGCACAGAGTGGGAGCTGTCTCCCTGCCCCTCTCCCTCTGCCTCTTTCATCCTGGGACTTTGGGTACAGGTAGATGCCCATAGGTCTGGAAGAGGCTCCATCCACGGGCAGCGCGAGGGCCCCTCCGCCAGTGCTCGGATGCGGCCGTCCTAACCCACCTGCGGGCGGCACCCGGAGGTCGTCAGCCTCAGGGGCCGAGGACAAGGCAACCTCCGCACGGTTGCCTCTTCCCCAAGCGGCGTCCAGTACTGATGGCCCACTCCGGGCAAGGCACAGAGCTGGAGCCTGGGCGGACCTAGCAGGCACCCCGTGACCCCTGCGATGACACGTGGGCGTGCACACACTCAGTGGAGAGCCCACCTGGCTCATCCTGCAAAGTCCCACAACAGCGCACTCCAACAGACAAGGGTGAACAGAGATCGCATTTAGCAAAGCAGGGGATGTCTGGGAGGCCTCCCCAGGGAGCTGACTGTCTGCAGACCCTCGAAGGACATGGAACCTGGAGGCGGAGGGATGCCAGGCGAGGAGGCAGGACCTTGTCCCGGTCAGAAGCACTGAAGACGTCAGGTGGGACAGTGGCCACATAAACCTCGAATGGAGAACCACCCACGAGATGGCGGGCACGAGAGAGGGGGCGAGGCAGCTCCTGCCCCCTCCATTGCTGTGGTTACCATCAGAATAAAGGATCGGACAGCAGCCTGGTGACAGTCCTCGCAGGAAACCTCCCTTCATGAGGGGACAGCCATCTGACCGGTGCTCCAACCCAGGACCCTCTGCTGGCGAGGAGGGGGCGCTGCTCCCCCCAGACAGGGTCCCGGGCCGCCTGACCTGGGCCGGCAGTCGCCAGGCACAGGCTTTTGTGTCCCCGTATATTTTTTATGTATATTTTTTAACTTTTAAAATGGTGGTAACATGTAACGGACATGAAATGGACCGTTTTCCCTGTTCTGAGCGATGCGGTCCACGGGC